TTTTCAAAAGTTTTAGAATTATTTAATAATTTACAAGAATAAAGAAGTCACTCTCACATTTTTATAACCCATGTAAGCAAGCTTCAGAAATTTCCATTCTCGGAGGCCCTTCCCTCTGCCCCCCGCCCTCATCGGTCGGCCACCGGTAAAAACATAAGAGACAGACGTTACGGCTCACATAGCCTTAGGGAGATCTGTACTACAGAAAAAAGAAACAACGAAAACAGAAGAAACACTCATCTGGAGGGGTTTCTGCTTGATCATGATGAAGACGACAAAGACGGACTTTGTGTGCAGTGACCCATACGATCGTATAAATGCTTGACTGTACGGTAATTTTACGGTAATGGAAAGCTGCAGGCTCATTCTGTACTATAATTCTGAGATGAAGCCAGCTTCACTACATGCTACGTAAAGGCCTTCAAAAAGCTGGTGACATGAAAAAACTTTGGGACAGCCTTGCGACACATAATAAACATCTTGTTCTTTTCGTATCCAGTCATAATTGTTCTTTATTCGAATAACAAGGAATACACATCATCCAATCCACTTTGGCACCATAAAAGCCAAAGCCACCATAGACAGTTATGGCATTTGAAAAATTGTGACGATGGCGCGGCCGCGCGCGACACGCACGCCACCTCCGGAAATCGCACTTCCTTGGGTTTCGTCTCTGGTCGATTTTCTGCATACGCATGATAATATTTAGACATTGGAAATGACTGAGCTGAACTTCGAGGTAATGCCTTCTTGTATGAGCGTTTTATGCCCCTGTGGGCGCAAAGTCCGCAGCAAAATACATTACAAGATTTCACAAATGAATTATATTTCCAATTACATCAAAGTTTTTTTCTGTTTGAATGCATTGACATACTGCTCCATGTTTACCTTTTGTTTCAAACCGGATAGACCTTATTGGCACTCCGTTTCGTGACAGGTCGCACTTTGTTGCAATGACAGCTCTATCAAATCGTGATGGGACCCAAATCCCCTTTCTTTGTTTTATGGCTGGCAAAGCCAGCGCCATTCGTAATACATTCGTGATGCGGCACGGACATGTGTACGGGAACAGCCATAGGTTGTCGATGTTGTCGGTGTTGTCGATGCTGTCGGTGTTGTCAGTGTTGTCGGTGTTGTCGATGTTGTCGGTGTTGTCGGAGTTGTCGGGGTCAGAGACAGTTTAGAGAGCGCGCGAAACGTGGAGGCTATCATGAGGTCCTACAACGACCGGCAACCTCGGCAACCCCGACAACACCGACGACACCGACAACATCGACAACACCGACAACACCGACAACATCGACAACACCGACAACCTATGGCCGTTCCCTACAGTCGAGTGGATTTTCCGCTTAATATAGTGCGCTTGCACTGAAGGTGAAATGCGGTAAAATTTGGGCGTGAACAGATAGCTGCGCCCGTGACGCCGGCCAACTGCGCGCGCAAAGGGCCTGCATTACTGGCGTGGTTACTTATTTACGCGCAAATTATACCGCACTTCACATTCTGTGCAAGCACACTTCGAAGCGGAAAAGCTACTTGACTGTAGTTACGCCGACGCACTGCTCCACATTGAAGCTTTGGCTGTCTCTCTTTGAAACAGACTAAGCTGTGACGCCCGATTACATAACTCACATGGCCGTAAATTTTTTGTGCATCTGCATTACCTCACTGATAAAGCTGTCAAAAAGCGCAAGTAGATTTGAAGCAATATAATACTGGTAGGAATTTTTGACAAGCAACGCCATACCGCAGGAATGTCTGTCACATGCCTATAATCTAGCAAGTTGGGCTAAATTTGGGATTACTCACGATGCAATAAAATTTATCAGATAAATTTGGGATTACTCACGATGCAATAAAAAAATTTATCAGATTTTTTCAGATAAATATTTAAGATAACAAGATATAAATATCTATTTCTTTTTCGATGCTATCTGGTGCATCATCAGGAGAACAGGAGACCCTGACAACTCTGAGCTCCTACGTAGCCGTATTCAACGACGCTAGTTGGCCCGTTGGAAAAAGTACGGTACTCACGATGCAATAAAAAGTTTAAAGTGTCGAGTTTAAAGTTGAATCCGTCGTCCTCGGATGAATTATACAAGCTTGAACTCTAGGAGAATGGGCCACTCAATACCTGTCAATAGCATCTAGGCAAGAATCAGATGACGGATAGACGTAGAAAGTGCCCCTACTTAAATGTGCTGCATTAGCATGTGTCGCACATTGAGGATGTTCTCATACTGAGCTTATAATCAGCAAATCTAATTGCATGACTTGCTCAAATAGGCACTGCAATCTCATTGTCACGTAAATTGCTCAATAAATGCAATTTAAAGATTTTATTGCTGATAGCTGCGGTGAAGGGTAATTCATACAAATGTGGCTTACTCTGAATACCCACTGCTTCTAATTCCATAACGGAGATAAGACCAATTGGACAACAAACGTTACCCGTAGCCAAAGTTAAACTTAGGGTAAGAAGTACCATCCCCGAGGAATGACATGTTATGTCCGAAGGAAGGAAAGAGTCGTACAGGAGTGCAAGCAATGAAACAAGCCAAATATTCCGTGACGAAACACTTCGTTATAAAATCTACTTACATCAGACGACCTTCCTTTATTCATCGAGTAAGAAACTGTAGTCCAACAAGAACATACATCTGTCCTAGGTTTGGAACCCATTTTTTGAAAGATGGCCTCGTCACGGAGCATGAAACTTTCACCCTGCCTAAGCACGGTGCATTGAGTCCTGAGACTATTGAGATATTGTACTATTGAGACTATCGAGTAATTGTAGTTTTCACAATGACGGTTTTTGCTGGGGTGCGGGAAGTTTCCCACCCGAGCCATACTCTCGCACCTAAGTGATGGCCTGCTAGCCAATTTCGGACTAGCTATTACGAGCTCTTCAGACTACCAAGACATCGCACGCCCCGCCCACTTGTCCAGCGTCGCTTCAGATGCTGAAACCGAAATTTCAAAGAAAGTTCTAAAATTGATGTTCGGTAGCGAAATTGCTTCAATCAAGACCAAATTTCGGATTCAGGGGTTTTCAAGGTTCTCTTTTCAGTAGTGAGATTTTTTTGTTGCAAGGTCAACGTTTAGCACCGATAATGCCCAGCCGAAATTGAAATTCGGATTTGGTCGGGAATTCTTTGGAATAAGGCAAAAATGCAGGACTACGGCTTTCGAAAAATTGTGAATTAACTACTGAAAAGAAAATTCCGCAGCATGAATTTTCTGGTTGTTTTCAAAATAACGAAGACGTTTGCACTGGGACAACCTCAGTGACGTCACTGACCTGTGGTATTTCAAGAAATACTTGATTAGGTCACTATTAGTGCTGCACCTTGACAATATCTTGAAACTGAATTTAGAAGAAAACCCAAAACGGAGTCACATACCATTGCCAACAGGGACGGGGCGGGGTTATACGCTATTTTTTGTTATCAATCGAAATCGATTGTATCGATTTCTTTGCAAACTTTGTGCTATGTAGCTGAAAGTTGGCATAGCGGGGTAACTGAGCATGCCGATTACGAATAAAATATTGGTTTGCAGAATTATCCATCTTCTATCGATTTTATCGATTTTGGCAAAGGTTGAGCTACGGGGGTGAGAGTTAGCCCAGTGGGGTAAGTGAGCATGCTGGTAACGAATACAATATCAGTTTCTGAAATTGTCAATCATCTCTAGCGATTATATCGATTTTTTGCAAAGTATGAGCTATGGGGCTGGGAGTTGGCATAGGGGGGTAAGTGAGCATGCTAATTACGAATGCTACATTAGTTCTTAGAATCATCTACTACTTTTATCGATTATATTGATTTTTTCGCAAAGTTTGAACTACGGGGCTGGGAGTTGGCACAGGGGGTAGGTAGGCATGCTGATCAGGAAAACAAAACGGGGTAGGAAACTGGCATGTAGAATTGGAAAAGTTGCACAGGGTAGGTATGGTGATCCTACTCATAGTGTTTTGAAAGGACCCGGCGGAGCCGGGGCCAGCTAGTTATTCATAAAAACCAGCTCTACCTCCTCTGAAATAACTAAGTGTGACTCCCTAAAGGCCGCCATATTTTCCGTATGTTGCCTCGTAACCTAATTTACCTCGAAAAACGTGGATCCACTACATGCCAGTATTGGAGGTGGATACAGTGTTTCCATGGTGCCAGTAACACTTGCACGTAAACAAGTTGCGAGAGAACGCAAAACTCATATATCTCTTATATATAAAGTTGAATGTCTGTCTGTATGTATGTCTGTATGTCTGTCTGTACGTATGTGCGGAATAGAAATTTTTATTTCTGGACCGATTTGGACCAAACTTGGCACACATATACTTCGGGGCAGGGAGCGTGTCATAGGCTACTTTTCGTTATCGATCGATATCGATTTTATCGATTTTTTGCAAAATTTGAGCTAGGGGGCTGGGATTTTGCACAGGGGGGTAATCGAGCATGCTGATCACCCCGGAGGGGTTGATCAGCATGCTCGATTACCCCCCTGTGCAAAATCCCAGCCCCCTAGCTCAAATTTTGCAAAAAATCGGTAAAATCGACATCGATCGATAACGAAAAGTGGACTATGACATGCTCCCTGCCCCGAAGTGTATGTGTGCAAAGTTTGGTCCCGGGCGGAGCCGGGTTTGCCATCTAGTAGAATATAAGCGCTAGCCATTTTGTATGCGCAAATTTCCAGCAATGAAGAGTAGCAGTTCTCACGCAAATGTTATCTACCGCAAAGTTACTACATAAATAGTGAGCATCGACCTTAGATGCTGTAATGCTGATCGATAGCTACACCATGATGATCTATGGAAATGCGCGCCCCTGCTCTCTTCCCATATCATTACATGGAAGAAATAGAGCGAACTAAGAAAGTGGCATTGAAGCTCACCGTATTGATTAATTCTATGGAGAACGCTGTTCATCAAATTCATATGGAGACAAAAATAAAACAAAAACATTTCATTCGGTTTCCCGATAACAACAAATTTAAGCAATAGAACCGGCGTTAGCAGCAATCCTAGGCCATAAATCTGCGCACTCCTTGGCGACGGGTCCAGTGATAGCAGATCCTTTCATTTCACCTTTGTTATTGACGATAACACCTGCGTTATCCTCGAAATAAATGAAGGTACCGTCCTTTCGTCTGAACTGCTTGCGCTGTCGGATGACTACGGCTTGCAAAACTGAAAGAAATAATAAAATGACAATAATGGTAACTTAGGTCATTGGACACTATGAAATAAATGTGTGTCAGACCACTAATATCAGAGATAAATTCAAGCAGCATCAAAGAATATATTTTTAGCATACTTCGAGTGATATAAAAGGGGTAAGTAAAACACCCATTTTGTTCCCCGGAACTCAAACATAGACATGGGATTACTGCTGCTCTTGCCAAACGTTACGTTCGCAAATCGATGTCTTAATCACTTAGATACAGATAGACAGAATCTTCCCTAAATGTTAAAGTCAGTGTGTAGACTGATTTATGATCAACTAATTCCAACGCATTACCGAAGCAGGCTCCCCTACAAGCTATGCCCGACTGCGAGTGCAAAATACTGCTACTGAAGATAAAAAAACAGCTTCGGAAGTGTGAACAACAGACCCACCCCTTCAGTATCGTCCTTACCGCAGAAATTGAGCCGAGACACGTGCTGCATCCAATGACAAATTAGCAACGTCCGTGTCTCGGCGCGATTCCTTTCGGTAATTACGATGCTGAAACGAGGGGGGGGGGGGTTGTTTACTTTCTTTTTCTAGCTTCAGAAGCAGTATTTTGAATTCGCAGTCGCGTGCATGGTGAGCCAGCTTTGGCAATGCGTTGGAATTAGGTGAACACAAACCTGCCCGGACACTGTCTTCAAGCAGTCTTTGGCAGTCTCACCTACTATGAGTACGAAATGCCTGTCACTGATGTTGATTCCTACGTGTAAACAGTCGCACCCTAAGCGAATCCGTAGAATCGCGGACCCCATGCGATTTGACAATGCGATATAACTAATAATCACCACATTAGATTCTGAATGCACAGCACGTAGATTTGGAGATAGGCAAAAGTGCAGTGCTTGCGCAAAGTAGGCTTTCCTAAAATCCAACAATCGCAATTCCCGAATCGCGCAACAATCGGAACGTCTACCAATGCCTCAGCAGCCACAATCAGCAGCAGGAAGTCTTCTCAGGGGGGGGGGGGGAAGAGGAACATTTTACCACTGCAGTACACACACACAAAATGAATTATCTCATTTTGAAAAGATGTAAATTCAAAGAGAAGGACTCCTTAACGCGCACAGTGTACAAAGGAAAATGGTTTTAGGATAAGAGCCTCACTTATATTGTGCCTAAAAATCGCGTCGTTGAAACTTTTTGAAGTTCAACTTGCAAGAGTTTACTATTTGATCTCCCTAAACTGCATCGCCATTTGGCAAATTGGTATTTGGCTTTCTATCACCGTGCGATACACTGAATAATCAATGCAAAACTGCTTCGAAGTTCGTAGATATGCCGACGTGATATTTCTTTTTGATGTGAGCAATGATGAGCATTGAATGCTTAGCAAGAAGTATAGTCGATTTGTTGACCGCACGGACTGGACATCACTGCGGAGCACGCGCCGCGAGAAAAGACGTTTGCCCCAATACAAATTCGTCATTGTACAAGTTGTGCTCTCACGACGATTGAGCCGCGCCGCGCGTGGTCCGCAGGGTTTGAGCTGTCTGTGCCGGTCAACGAATCGATGATACTTCATGACAAAATCACTAGGCAAACAGTGCCTTAAGACTGAAGTGAATGTACAGCGATCGAAAATTTCAGTACCAAAACAGAACAATGCCGGTTCGGACAAAAAAGAACTCATTCACTTACTCAGTTATGCACAGACTTTGCCTGAAGGAAGGTTCGGTGAAATGGCTCTGCATCAGATAAATTGGCTTTATTTCAAAAAGGATGAACATCAGACTCAGACCCCCCCCCCCAACAATTCAGACCCCAATAGGATTTCTACGGTGCTATTTCAATAAAAAAAAAGGCATTCCTCACTTCTGTCCTTGAAGTTCACAGTTCACACTCATTATGAAAAAGGATCTATTCAATCAAAAGGGTCATGCATTCGTGCAACTAGTGCAGAAATACAAAGAATGGAGCAAAACGGATAAAAAAGCTTGGCGCTATTCCAGTATACCGACCCCAAAAATTAAAAATCTCGGATTTCGCTCAAATTCGGTATAGGGGGGTTATTCGACCCGCTGATGCCGAATATTATATCGATTCCGTGTGATAGCGCCATTTTCCGGGGGTTACGGTGGGTATACGGTAGGGGGGTCAAAATCACAAAATTCTCTGAAACTCGGTAAGAGGGTGTTATCCGACATGCTGAACACGAATACGATATTCATTCGTTACGGTAGCTCCTCATTCCGGGGTTATGGTGGTTATACGGTAAGGGGTCAAAATCACGATATCCGCTGAAACTTCGTGTAGGAGGGTTATTTGACATGCTGATCACGATTATGGTGTTTATTAGTTACGATAGTGCCTCATTCCGACGTTACGTTGGGTATACATTACCAATACCACCGCTAGATCGAGATTCAGGGCTTGAAATCTCAGTCACATGTCGGAAATTTCCTCTCCCTGCTTTGCTTAGGCAAAAGCCGCCGCAGGGTGTATCGCGCGCGGAGGTGGGTGTGGAAAGCAGTGAATTAGACCCTCCTACAGTATACCCACCGTAACCCCGGAATGAGATGCTACCATAACGAATGGATATCATATTCGTGTTCAGCATGTCAAATAACCCCCCTGCACCAAGTTTCAGAGAATTTTGTGATTTTGACCTCCTACCGTATACCTACCGTAACCCCCGAAAAAGGGCGCTATCGCACGGAATCGATATGATATTCGGCATCAGCGGATCGAATAGCCCCCCTATACCAAGTTTGGGCGAAATCCGAGATTTTTAATTTTTGGGGTCGGTATACTGGAATAGTACCAAAAGCTTCAACCAAGATAAAGAAGTGCAAAACCCAATAATTCTGATAAAAGTCAAGCTAGAACAAAATAAAATTACAAGTAAAAACCACCTTACCTTTCTTTCTGAGTTCTGGCTTTCCCTTTTTGACTGAAGCGACAAACATGTCACCAACTCCTGCACTAGGAAGCCTGTTCAGTCTTCCACGAATGCCATATACAGCGATAACAAATAGATTTTTGGCTCCAGTATTGTCGGCACAGTTGATCACGGCTCCCACTGGTAAACCAAGAGAGATACGGAACTTGGCTCCAGATGCTCCACCGCGTCCTCTCTTGGACATCTTACCTGATATTGAGTCTGGATTACATAAAGAGGAAACAAGTTGCAACGAAAGATATGAACGCATTATATATACGGTAGGTAAAAACAGCCATGAGGAAGAGAGTTTTAACAAGAGACAAAAGAAATAACGGAGTAGAAGCATAACAGACACTCAAAACATGTTCCAAACCAGAAAAAGACGTTCACACGCGAAACCACCGTAGAAGAACGAAATCTTTCTTTATCTATACTTGAAGAACTTGAAGCACAAAGATAGTGTTAAAAATTTGAGCTTCAGTATTTGCAAAATAGAAAGTCGATGAACACGGGTCGAAAATATCGAATACTCAGCTAGGAACGAGCATTCGTGCTAGGACCAGCTGCCGCGGCAGCCAATATTGAACAGCTGATTGCACTTCGTCTCGTAAAATGAGACAATTTTTGCGAAGGGCTTCAAATTGTGTTCGGCACACAGAGTAGAAGGGAAAGAGCATTGGGTGGTGTAGAAGTTCATGAGCTAGGAGTGCAAGTGTGTGCGTTGCCACGCTCGATGCTTTTTAGAGACTTCGAAAAGTAAGAAACAAAGCCTAACCTTTAGATTCGCATTTATTCGAGCCTTTGCGCTCAAACTCTGTTGAAAATCATAATTCAGATGTCAGACATTTTGCTGAGCAAGTTGGATTTCATTGCATCCGTCCGTTTATTTCTAAGCGACTATTAGGAAATGCAATCGTTCTGCAGGTAAAATGATGATGAACACCACACATTTTTCCAGCAGAACAGCGGACAGACAGAGACATATGAGCACGGAAACAATATTAATGGCGGAAAACAGAAATTGTTGCAACAGCCGGACGAGAAATCGCCGTCTGATGAGCTGATGTGCATTTGCACAGTGAGGCATTTACAGTTGACCTAAACCTTTCATAAATCACGACTCGGCACGAATTGATTTATAGGGTTTCCAAGGACGAAGCCCCCCCCCCCCACTCCTGACTTCGAAAATTTTACGAAGTCCCTTTGACCCTTATTGGAAACTTATCGAAAATCTTTCGATGTAGGAGAAGATGAAAACAGAAAAGAATTACTAGTCTAAAGGGAAAAACTTGAAATAAGAGTGAAAATAAGTGGCGCTGGTCATTACGCATGCAGAAGAGTAGGCATGGGAATGCAATATCTAACAAAGCAATTTATGAGAGAATTAAGGCAAAAAAAAACGAAGGAAAGGCAACGCTTTGATAATGTCTTCATGCTCAGTAACAGATTCTTGACCGTGGAATCCGTCCATGACAGGAGAATCTGAGACTTAAGTGAACTTACAAAAATATTTGCTCCATACGATCTCAGATTGTATGGTGCCCGTCCGGATGGATCAATTTTGGAAAAGATTATACTTCACGTAAATTTTCAGAACTTTTTACATAATTCCTTGTGAATAATACTCTAGGTCCACAGTCCAAATCTGGTATCATATGCTTGTTCGTACGCTGTAAACAAGCAGGTTGTTGATTTGGCTTTGCTTGACTTTGTAATTGCATCGAATTCAACTCCTCTGCTTCTCTAGGAAAACATGAATCCATACAAATATTATTGAGCTATGTCCAAAGGCCAACGAAATCACGAACATCGTTTCATTTTGCAGAGCATGCCTTCAACATTTCTGACCGTCTGCACATGGTGCAGCTCGCTGTTTCAAAGGATCTTTGAGGTTTACAGCAGGCTTTTAGTCCAAGGTTATCAAGTCAAAGGCCTAAATTCCTGCTTTTCGAAGATTCGTAGAGCTGTGCCGCCGGTATTTGTTTGGGAGATATGAAGACAAATCAAACAACAGTTGGAACGAAGAGCGGCAACCAAACGACGCGCGCGACGTCGCACTCTTTGCTTCGATTTCAAAAAGAAAAACCGCAGTGATGCTTCTAAATATTATTAGTGAATGCATTCCCGTCCCTATCTTTCAAGAAAGCACAGAAGTCCTTTCTAAGCGACAAAATTCAGACGCTTTGAATTTACTCAGAACTGTGGGTCTGGAGCTTACCTGCCATGCCGATTACAGATGTAGCCCACAGTCTACGAAATAAGGTCCTTTTGTTGGCTAACGGATGAAAGGAAACTTTTTTTCGCCGCGCGCGAATCCGCGGTCCGAAATTTAACTGGCGAACTGGTAAGTTTAACTGGTACGAGTATGGTGAATCAAGAAATTGAAGTTGCTTACACCTTCGTTGAAATGGGTTTGTCGGCATGTTGACTACGCATCATATTGGAAGTGCAGCAGTCCATTCTGTTATAGCTGATGCAAGAAACTTGCTCATAACGATCTATCAGAAAGTCTTTTGATGCCCAACCGCTTCAAAAACTGTAACCAGCATGCCACTTTTCTCTTGGCAAAACTAACTCTCCATTGTAACGTAGCTCCATGGTAACCTGAATGCCTGGACCATGTTCCACCGGAATGTGTTGTCGACTTCTCTAATAATGACTTCAATGAAACAACACTCAACTTTGGTTCAAAAGGTAACAGGCGCTTCGGTGTCAAAAGATCGATTTGTGTGGGAACACAGACAAAGCGTTCCGTAAAAGTTGAGTGCAGATTCCGCGGTAAATTGGTGTGATTGATATAAAACCGCCCTTATTTTCTCTTGAGAAAAGGACGCAAAATCGCTCGATCCATGCGACATCACCGTAGCGTGGTTACATCTTGCTTCAGAGTGGACTAATTCTTAACTCAAAAGCACCATTCGACTCAGTCGACGCAGCACATCTTTTGATATCTAAAAGTGGCCGCTAGGATACAGTGGGAAGGTCAGATTCAACGATCGTTTTAGATTTTTACTTGCGGTGGGTTGCCCAGTGAGGGCAATGAATAAGAACACTAAGTAACCTACCGTGAGCGAAAATCAACGATTAGTAGAAACTGACCTTTTATTGTGTCCAAACAGGTTCTACACACCAGAAAATGCGCCGCGCCAAGCTGAATCGAATGGTGCCCTTGTGCTAAGAATTCGTCTACTCTGAAGCGAGATACGGCCACCCTACGGTGATGTCATATGAGTCGGGCAATTTTGCGTCGTTTTTTCGAAAATACGAGCGGTATTATAGATAAATGACGCGCTTTCTAAGATTTGTTGTTTTCTTTTGAACCAAAATAATAGAGAGCTTTCTACAAAACACACTCAATATCAATCTCTTGGAAAGTTTTTAAGGGATTAGGTACGATCAAGGCTTTGCGTATGCAGTCATCTTTTTGATTCAACGAGATTGGCGGCTGGACTAGAAGGCGAACGCGGGCTCCCGCGACACAGTCTGCGTCTCCCTCGCGGGCGTGCTCTCTGATCATTCTCTAGCCCTCAATCCCCGCCTTGGCCACCAATCCAGTTGAGTCAAACGGTACGCTCAGGCTGTTTCATTATTTTTTGGTCATCTTTGATTCCGCGAGCTCTTTTTTCCGCTGTGAGTTCCAACCAAATCAGCTTTGTCAACATTTGACAGCATAAATGATAAATTTATCGATCATCAGTGCCTCTCTGGGTCCTTTGAGATGCCAATGTCAACTTTTGATTGAGTAGCTATAGATGATTCGTAGCACGCAATTGCTTGCCAGTCCAAAAAATCATGAAGTATGTGTACGCGATTCGTGACGGGCAAAGAATGGGCATCGCTGCGTCCGATCAAGAGAGTTCGCGCATGGGAAAGACAGCAGATGGTAAGAGAAACAGAAGAGCGCGTCCGCAGTCTTGTAGAATGTCATTTTTTTTTCAAGGTGGCGCCAGTGGTCGTGGCAAATGCTTCAACCTTTAGGACTACGTATGCTTAAATACTGACATAATCTATGCAGTGGCCGTCCAACCCTTTGATCCATAAGTAATCATCAGAAAGCGAACCGAAAGATCATACATTTGCATTCTGAAATTTTCATTCCCCATCATTTGGACAGACTTATAGATTCTGCATCGCGAAAGGGTACAGATTTTTTGGGGAGGGGAGGGGGGGGGGGGAGGGGGAGGAGTAGATTGAGATTATAAATTTACAAGTAACTAAGGGCTGCATGCACTAACATTTAAGCTGGGGAGGGGATCGCAGCTTCAAAAGAAAGCTTCATATCCTAAAGCTCCGGATATCTGGATTTCACGCTGTCTACCTGTCCATAAGCACTCCCACCATCCTTCACTATGAACATATTGAGCAGAAGCGAAAAGCTGTACAAGCCGCATCTCCCAGCTTTTTGTAGGATCCCCTGATGATCCTTGGGGGACGAAGATCTATTCTTCAAAGTCATTTTTCTTTCTTCGAAGTTAACGAAAACCTTCCAAAGTTATACTGAACATCTAACACAACAGTGCTAAGCATGCTGCTGATGAGAACAAATGAAGTTTTGAAAAATCGAATTTTTCGGTATACCCCAAATTTCGACCTGTGGATCATCGAAAATTTCATGACTTTAAAACATCATTTGTTTTTATCAGCAACATGCTTACAAGGGAATGGTCAGAAGTCGAAGCGGCCAAACCAAACAAGCTGTATACCGTTCGATGCATTATAAAACGCTGACTTCGAATCTGTCTTTCTTATCTGCTTCCGGCTTCCGTGGACGAACCTACAAGCCATTAAAGACCATTATTTTGCTAAGAAATTACACGTGAAATTGAAAATAACCGTGCAGAGCCACATTCGCCTTGATGCTGGGCCAAAACATGCAGCTAACCCACTTCATATTTTTAAAGAAAGAAGCTGAGCTAAAAATGCAACGGTGTGCTCAATTTCGCTGTATTTATGTGTGAAAGCGCCGGGGATCATCAGGGATCATACAAAAGCTGGCAAATGCGGTTTGTACAACTTTTCGCTCCTGTTCAACATGTTCATAGTGAAGGGTAGTAGGAATACTTGCAGTTAGGTACACAACGTGAAATCCAAGCATCTGGAGTTTCGAAATATGAAGCTTTCTTTCAAGCTGCGATCCCCTCCCCGCGGCCATGTTAGTGCATGCGGCCCTAAGAGTTACATGAGGGACCTCAACAAATCATGTGAAATCAAAGAAAAAAGATTTGTCCCTTTCGACTCTCACTAGTTTTTTAAAATTTATTCATGTCCAATTCCCCTTTGCTTACACCGTTTTGATGTATCACGGCTTAGTTGTTAGCAAGCTATTTGCTTGTTACGGTGCACAAATTGAGTGCTGTATTTTTACCAAAAATACATTGGAGCTTGGAAATGTTGCCTTTGCAGAGAATGTATAAGCTTGCCTTTGCAGAGAATGTATAAGCGATGATGGGCCTTCAAAATGGTGAGGTCCAGTGATGAGAAGGTGGAACGCAGATCTATATATCAGTTCGCAATCGATTAAATGTTACTTTCTCTTTCGAGATTTGTCATTTAGTGAGGCGGATTTGACCTTATCTATCAATCAGCTTGTCTTTCGCTTTGAAAGTTCATGTATGAATGAGCCAGATGTAAATCTGTACATCTCCGTCCTTGTCTTCGGTCTGTGAACTAATCTTGTTTTTTTGTCTCTTGCTACAGCTTGGCAGCTCCTGAATATCGCTGACGAAGGGCGTAAAGAAAGCTGCAGCGCAGACATACTTCAAAGGCAGTGATTTGAATAGAATTTATGCTGAACCAGCGAATGATTTTCGTTGATACAATGCCCACAAACCTATCCTATCCTGGTGGTTGAAGAAATACAACAAAATTACCTGCCACTCAGCGACAGATATGTAACGTCAGTAAGGGGGATGTAACGCTCAGCCAGTCTATTCTTTGTTGGAGTGATGACGTTCAAAGTCAGTGGACTCAAGCGCGCATGCAATTCTAGAACCTCAGCTTCTGAAACATTTGATGCTTTGTAACTGTATTGAATCTGTTGACAAAATAGCCATTTTTCTACCATGTTCCTAGACTAAACGGCGTTGCTCTGCTCATACAAACGCGAACATTACTGAATGAAAGAAATCTCATGCTTTCCACATTTATTCAGCTAAAGTGAATATATGTGCACAAAGGGTAATCATACAAATTGCCCAATGAAGAGAGCGTTTTTATCCTTGTTGAGAATAAAAATGAATGGGTGGTCTGCGATGAATTTTTTGGGGTTTTGGTGGATGGTCAACATCATTGGTTTCCTTATTCCGATGTAAGTTGCTGCGGCTGCAGTTGTACCTTCCTCGTCAACCTGTTCAATCAAATTGTAGTGGAGTGAAACGATGATTGAGCAATGATACAAGCATAGACTACCCTATTTTCAGGTGTATAAGCCGCACTCTTTTCGCTCTATAGGCGAACACCCCAAAGGAGTGACTGTCATCATGGAGCGCGTTAAGTGAGAACAGTATACAGTTTTTTTCAACCCGGAGTAGGCGAAACATTCTAAGGGACCAGCGCGTACGCACCGCAACTGGCTCAGCGAGTTAGATCAGAATGAAGAGACGCAGACAGCAAAGCGGCGCGAATCGTTGCGAAGCGGACTCTCGCCAGTCCAATTTCCGCCTAAACTGAGTTGAAGTTTACTATACGATAAGGCGACCGCTTCGCGAGACATATGTGCGGTGACACGCCTGGATCTGCTCGCATCTAGAGCAAAAAGGGGCGGCTTATACACTTGAAAATAGGGTAGTAATTTGTGATATAGTGTTTCAGCGGTACTTGCAGCACTTGCGCGTGAAGAGGTGCCATGCCTGCAATGTCGAGAGCGCAAACCTTTATGAATGCTACGACCATCTTTTCATGCACAAATGTTATCGGTAGCGCATCACTGTGCCAACCATTTAAACCCACAACATAAAACACTTTGCAACTTCTAGATTTTGCTTTTGTTCATTAATTTAAAGCAACTCTTTGCTTTTGTTTCATTGTTACAGTTGATACAGAAGAGAAACCTGCCTCAATAAAAGCTCTATGCTTTGCGTCAGACGCATACAGGCCGACTTTTGAAATCCCTGATAGATCGGCCGATGCGCTATCGAAGAGGTAGGTAACACCCATAGCCAACAGAGCCTGTTTCAACTCGTAGTCCTTTTCAAGTTTCATTTTGGGAATTGATATCTGAAAGGGTGATGAAGACGGTTAGTCAAGAAATTTCTCCTTACTTTGCTTAAATACGTTGATCTTGAACATGAGAGCAGATTTTGAATTGCAGCTCCATCCAACTTTGCACGGAGCTCATCAATGTCGAATCTTCAAGTCTGGACTGTATCTGCCGGCATACCTTGGCGAAAAACACAGATTACCTTTTCTTAGGCAAAAATATATTGAAAGAGTAGGATGTGTCCTTATAGGGTAGCGATAGAACTTGAACGACTTCATTCTCAGCATACATGCGATTTTTTCTGTACTCATTTATATAGTCTACCTGCAAGAACCAATAAATCACAACTGTTATATGTATCAGACGAAAAATCATGGCTTTTCTCTACCTTTTCTTTATTATCTGCAGAATGATGAAACATAGCCTTTTTTGTGAATCCCTTGTTAAACTTGTGATACCAATTTGCTTCGAAGTAAATTGCATTTACTATAAGGGCGTCTGCATCTGAAACATAATCTACCTTAGCAGTACTTCCTGCCTGCTTGAAGTCGTACGCTATGATTGCAGCGCCATACTTCTCGGCAATCATTTTCGCATAGTTCTCTCTTATCGAAAATGTCTTGCTAAAATAGATAGATTTTCACTCTCAAAATCAATAAGGTTTTGAAGCACCATTTTTATAGGGCGCAGATACTCATGTCATTGCATTCTCTACATTTCTTAATGGAAATGTTTGATGGAAAAAAACAAGAAGCATTTAGTGCAAAAAATAATTGTCAGAACCTGCTGATATTTGCTAACTTTTGAAGAATATGATGTGGTAATGCAAAGAGACAACTGAAAAATCTTGTTCAGATGTTAACTTCTGAGACATAGTGTTTCTTGTGAGCAAGCATACATGGGACGCCAAGAGCAACGAAGATTAAGTAGCGTTAGTGCCTACTCAGACAGCGGATAGGACCCCTCCGCCGGAGAAATGGCAGGGCCGCGGGGTTTCCCCAGCGGTGGGTCTGCCACTCGTCCGCCGGAGCCCTCCCATTTCTGCTCCGGCGACCTCCCATTTCTGCTCCGGAGACCTCCCATTTTCTGCTCCGGATACCTCCCATTTTCTGCTCCGGAGACCTCCCATTTTCTGCTCCGGAGACCTCCCATTTTCTGCTCCGGAGCCCTGCCATTTTCTGCTCCGCAAGTCTGCCGCGGCATACTGTAATTAGCCCTAATTAAGCTCCAAACCCCAATTTTGTCTCTAAACCGCACCCAAATTAGCCGAATACGACCCCCCCCCGGGTAAGAGTTCAGCGCGACCCTCAAACCCGTTCTTTACCCCCTCCCTCTCACCCCTAGCGTTTGTGGATAGAAGATAGAAAAATGAAGAAACAAGACATTTATTTCAAATTAACTACAAACAATCTCCTGCAAATTGCAAAACAAAACTTAGCGGCTACAAAACGGACAACACCGACAACAGTTGCCGGCAACCTATGGCCGTAACAACAGACACAAGACATAACATAAGACGTAGTAGTAGTATTGCTAATAAGAAGAACTTTATGCAGGAAAGAAGACCCAAACCGGTGAACACGAGATAGCAAAAGCACAGATCGACAATTTTGATTGCAGGTTTGCCATCATTTCAAATGCAAACTTAGAGTAGTTTTTTTGCGAAAAAGATGGAACACAAACTTTTTGCATGATTTAGCATTAGATCCCACACGTGTGAGTATATTTGAAAACAACTCTATTTAGAGAGAAAGTCGAACATCTCTCGAAGAAAAATAACGAGCACTTGCCTCGTCCCATCTCTATCAAAACTTCTGCTGTGAAGTAGACCAAACGCGGAGAACAGTTTGAGAGTAAAATTTCCGAGAAATTTGAGATCCGATTCTTTGAACTCAGCCATACTCATGCCAACCTAAACACCAACAAATGGATACAAGGACAGAATGTGGAGATTAAACATGCCTTATTCGTCCGGATTAAACTTCGGTAAGCGATGTCGGGGACATGGCACAAGCTTGAAGAGTTGTGGTAAAGAGTATGGAAAATTAAATACCTGAAGTACACAAAACTCGCAGAATCCGCAATAGAATCACAGTCTATGAGAACAATAACGAGCGATGGCCGTAAAGTACAGTCGAATAGATTTAGCGGTAAATATAGTGTGCTTGCACAGAAGGTAAATGCGGTGAAATTTGCGCGTGAACAAGTAGCCACGTCAGTACCGCGGGTATCTTGCGCGCGCAATTGGCCGACGTCACAGTCGAAACTATTTCTTCACGCGCCAATTTCACCGCATTTCACCTTTCGTGCAAGCACACTATATTTACCGCTAAATCTACTCGACTGTACCTGTGGATTAAGGAACAGTATCATGGTCTTGCTAAAATGACCAAGAATTGATACGACGGCTAGAGTCATTCCTGCCCAATAACAAAATCTATCACAAACAAAAACTCGTGCTGGATACTAAAACTAGGGTTTAGTGAGAAGCAGAAAGGGAAATCTGGCATCACTTACTTTATTGAATTGATAGAGAGCCAATGTACACGTTAAGAAGGGTATCAGAAAGTAGAGTGACAGCAAATGGTCCCAATACTGTTCTTCTACACGCGTAACCTGAATTTGAGATTGATTTGATAATACGACCGATACCGATAGTCTATACGTTTACCATGAATCTTGGAAGATACGTAGCAGATTAGGTAATGGATGACGCCGACTCTGAGCGCACATACACACTTGAACAGGACACGTACTTAAATCTACACATGGCTGCGCAAAGCGCGCCCCATGACCCGGCGCCAAATTAGCCAGCGCGCATGGTTTACGATGCCGGAGCACGCTAGGTACAGACTTGATCCCTAGGTTTCAGTGAAAATTAAGAGCTCCTCTACAATGCCTTTTTCAAACATTAGTCAAATGAAAAGTTTTATCAGGATGGACCATCCATCGGATGATGTAAATCATGGCTAATTACAAATAAACCCTAAAAACTATTGAGATAAATTTGATCACAGAGCTTCGCAGATTTACTCAGACAATCGACCGGACCCCTCCGCCAGACAGTCGGAATCTGCCAGAGTCGCGCCGGACCCAGTTGACCAATAAGAGCGGGGCAAATGGGCGGTCCCTTCTTGTAGGTCGCGGTGACATCACTGGCAGGCAAATGGGACGCTTCTCCGGCCCTGCTGCAAAGGTACGCCATTTCTGCTCCGGAGGTACGCCAGATTTGGCAGAGCCGCGCCGGAGAAAATTGCCCGGCGCGAGTCCGCCGGATTTGGAAGAGCCGCGCCGCAGAAAATCGGAGGGGTCCGGAGCACAAATGGGAGGTATCCGGAGCAGAAAATGGGAGGGCTCCGGAGCAGAAATGGGAGGTCTCCGGAGCAGAAATGGGAGGGCCCCGGAGCACAAATGGGAGGGCTCCGGAGCAGGCTGCGTATCGATTTGGCGCGTAGCAAGCAAACGTCTAACTCCACGGTGATGAGTCCTCTGTTTACGCTCTTTCTTCATAATTTAGTGGTTGTTTTTTGATTTTGTTGTTTCTCCGCGTTTCTTACCGTTTTTTTCTTTTCCGCGTTGCTCTTTGTCGCGTTGGCTTTTATGTTGTTGTAAGTTCCTCGTTTTCAGATTTAGGTTTCAATTTTTCGTGCGGATGCACTTAGTCACTTCTAGTGCTTGGCTCTTTTCGACTTGCTGAGACATCATTGACTATTGATGGAGTGGTTTTTGTGATTAATTTTGGATTTTCGAAACAAAAAGTATATAATCCGAGTGAATCTACTTTTTTTGTTTCGCACTTGTTCATGCTTGAGCTCCACGGCGGATTGCCTGTTCAAGACACGGTACTTAAATCTACACATGGCTGCACAAAGCGCGCCCCATGCCCCAGTGCGAATTTCTCCGGCGCGCAGGATCCTCGCTGTTGGGGCACGCTAGACATTGTGGACTTCTATTCTACGCGTAAATAGGTTATATGAGTGCTGTCACTTGTCTTCCCTGGAGGTCTTTACATATTAACACCTCAAATCTAACGTAAGGTGATATACCGTATATGCTCAGCGCTTTCTCATGGTAACTGAAGGCTCACACTTGCGAAGTAGGGGTCTCTTCTAGGATTTCTCTTCGTTTACGTATTTGAAAAGGTCCACCTTCTGCATTTACCACAGTTTCTTCATTAAGAAGCTGGAGAGAATATTTATGAAAGTTCTCTGACATAGGCGGCTAAAGCTGTATTGTAGGTATTGTTGATTTCTTTCTTTATGTACTTTCTCATAACTCCTATCCAGCGCTTGATGCAAGTTCAATTGAAGACTAGTGGATAGGAGTTCTAAATTGGCTTCTAACGAAACCAGCTCAGAACTTCTTTGTTGATTGATTTCTTGAAAGCTATCTTAGAACTTCTATCCGGTTCTTTTCGTTAGAAACCAAAGAAGTATTGATGCCTCAGTCAGAAATAAAGAAAAGCTGCATTGAGTGGTACCCGAACCGTCTACCTTTACATGTCCTAAGTCAGAATAGGACGAATATAAAATTTGGTCACTTCAAAAATACAGGGTGTGCGTAAAGTATGTATACATTGTTTACTCGTTAATATCTTTCTTCCCAACAAGTTTTTTGCCTTGCTTCAGGTACCGTTTTGTAGAGCTGGCTTCAACTTAGATTTGCAATATAGAACGAATCACCCATCCCTCTTCATTACTGTAGGATTACGGTAGAAACTTGAAACATATGGTGTCAATGTGGAAAAAGCTGCCGTCTCAAAAATTTTCAAAAAATGTGAACTTGTGGGATAGGGTTTTATGGATGCTGAGTTCAATACTCAATTATTCACAAGATTGCGAAGCTTCTTCAAGAGTGTAACTGCACTTTTTAGAAACATTGAAGAATTGGCCGCTATCCTTTACCTGGCATAACTCTTCAAAAAGCATCATAATAAGTTGGGAACTTTACAGTTAGAATCAGCAAATCCAATTAGCCTAGTGTAAAAGCTTTCAGACTGTTTGGTTTCCTTTCTGGGGCAAAATATAGTATTTTTTGGCTCAAAACCCTCTCTGAAGTTTCTATCGTAATCCTACAGTAATGAGGAGAGATGGATGATTTGTTCTATAGTGCAAATCTAAGTTGAAGCTAACTTTACAAAATGGTACCTGAAGTAAGGCGAAAGACTTGCTGGGAAGAAAGATATTACGATCAAACAGTGTATACATACTTTACGGACACCCTGTATATTTTAGAATTTTTATAGAGTAAGCCACAGGGCTACAGAAAATTGCATCAGTTGGCAAAAGGTTTGTCCCAACTGTCAAAGCTTCCGCAAAAGTGTCAGATAAAAATTTTGAAATTTAGCGGATGTTGGACATGGTGAAAACGACGGGTTATAAATTCTAGTGATTTTTTCAGCACTCTCTCAACGAAACACACAGATTATATAGCAGCTATGAAGAGCAAGAAATTCTGCGTTGAATGCAGCATGTAGTGTTTTACTTTACTGTACGGGATTTGCGGGACATTGCAAAAAACTGACACAACTTTTCGTTTGATCTAACATACATATAGATTGAAAGAGGAAAACATTTTATATTTCTAGTG